AATGGCATCTATTGCTTTACCCTGGTCAAGATGTGTGGTCCAAATGTTTCTGCAGTGTAGGAGTTGCAGATTACAGGAAAAAAAATTCCTGAAACCAAACTGCTTGTTAGAAAGTAGGTTGTTGTCATGCCCCTGTCGGAATCTGATTCCGAGGGGGAGATCGAGCAGCTGACAGGGAATGGGAGTGTGGCTCTGGTGTCTGTGGAAGACTGTGAAGGGCACAGTCCGGCTGGGCAGAGCAACGGAGAGGTAGAGCAAGGCAGAGGGAATTCAGAGGAAGATCCAGGCCCACCCCCCTCTTCATCCTAGAGCACGCAGGGAGGAACGGAGAAGGGAGTAATGTGAGTAGCATGGCTTATGGGGGAGGAAAGGGCACTGATTCCCTTCATTAGCTGCAGCTGGGAAAACAGTGTTTTAAAAGGCAAGTTGTGCACAGCAAAGTTGAAGGAAGCAAACCATAAGTTATCTTTCTTTGTTGATGCTTATCTGGGTTCTTGGTGTCTTCCCAACTGTGTCTGTTTTGTTGGCCTTTGAAGTCTGTAATTCCTTATCCTGCCCTGTCCAGTTAATTGCTGCAGTGTGGTTTGTGTGGATTTTTATTTACAGTTTATATTACTTTGTTTTCAGACTGAATTTCCTTCATTTAAAGACTGTTCAGGGGAGAGATTTTTCTCCAGCCAAAGGTAACTGGACATTGGGGACAAAGTTGGAGGTATTAAAGGGACTTTTCTTACTTATGTGACTGTGTTGCCTTTGTGCCATGCCATGGGTTATCACATTTGTTTGTTTCTAAGGTTAGGGTGATGGATTGGTTTATAATTGATTCCATGACTTTACAGGTGATACAACACAACAAGATTGGTCTAGGGATGACCATGGCTAATGACCATAAATCAGGCAGGGAGCTGGTTCTGAAAGATACCTCATAGATTGTGCTCAGAGGTTCGGCTAGGGCAGCGGCAACCTTTTTCAAAAAGTAGGCACATAATGGTTGCAAGGCTTCGGCGGCGGCAGGAATCCGCTTCTCTGCGGGTCCCTGCTGTGCTTGCCATCAAGGTACCCCCGATCCAACTGGATTTGGGGGTTGTCGCTGCCCTGAAGGGGCAGCGGAAGACAGAGGAGATCCGGGCAGGGGTCTGGGGATATCGCACCCCCCTTCCCCAGCCGGCTTAGACTCCTTTTTCCTGAGACGGTGGAGCGGCTGTCAGTAATGGCAGCCACAAAGAAATCTTCAACCGGACAAGATTGTGCAGGAGGAAGAGCCAGAAGGAGTTTTCTTGGCTGAACCAGGACATTAAGTTACTTTTAAAACACCCTGGAAACCTGACTTTGGATTGATACATTTGTTTCCAAAAGAATTTGTTACATCGGCGAAAGTGCTGAAGGAAAGCTCACTCCCCCTCCTTACGGAGAAAGCAAAGGAGCACAGAAAAATCTGCTTTTTAAAGGTAAAAATAAGCTCCTTGTTATAAGTGGGAAGGAGAGGACTAAAAAAATTTTTTTTAAACTTTGTTGGAGGAGACGCCTTGAAGATTACAGGACCATCAATTAATTGTAATACGGCTTTTAAAATACATTTGGGTTTTTGCCCCTGGAGGAAAAACTGTAAAGAGAAGAAGAGGAAATAATTTTTGTTTGTTTGGATTGTTTGATAACTCTGACATTTGGAAATTACTTTAAGATTGAAAGCATCTGGGTTGTTTTTAAAAACCTATAATGGTACCATCTGTTGATGAACTGAAAATGGAATATGAAAAATTAAAAGAAAGACAGCAAAGTGGCAAGGATTCCTTGGGAGCTGCCTTCCATTTTTTAGAAATGGCGGTTTCTACGTACCAGCAAATACTGGAGGAAGGAGAAGGAGAAGAAGAAGAAGAAAAGGAAGAAGCCATCTTTAATGGACTAAAAAGTTCGACTAAGAAAGAAAATGGGAAGAGAGGAAGGAAAAATGAGAATTTAAGATTTAATAAAACAACCAAGAAAAAGAAGAATAGGGTGAAAAGAAGGTACAATGTTAGAAAGCAATTGAAAAGAGAATTACAACAGAGAGGGAAACTTAAAAAGGGGGAGAGGAGCGGGGGGGTGGGGGGGCAAAAAGACCAGATTGGAGAAGAAAGGGAGGGAAAAAGAAAAAAAAAGCCACGGGCTAGAACAAGATTTTAAAAAGAAATTTTTTTTAGAGACGAAGGATGATGGATAGTGTATAATTAAAGAAGATTCTGCAAGAGTGCATAAGATAGTATTGTAGTATTTGCATTTGAAATAGTTTATTGGAATATTTAATAAAATATTAATGTTTAATAATGATAGATGTTGATATTTAATAAAATATTAGGAGAATGTGTTAAATGATTAATGCTTAGTTATAGTTTAATTTGTTACTGTTTTAATGTTATTATAACCTTAGTATTTTATTTTTTTATTCTAAAACAATGTACTTATCAGAATTAGAATTAGAATAGAAATTATACATTTAACTATACTATAAGTTTACTATTCTTTTATTTTAAGATTTAATATGTAGAATGTACTAAGCAGAATCAGGATGGAAATTATGTATTATTTTAAGCTTTATTTTAGGAGAAGGCGTCATACTTCAAAAGTGATTACAGGGGAAATTTTTTGTTAAAGAGAAGAGATAAATAGATGTTTGGTAAAGAACGGACAAAAGATATAAGCATAATGACTTTGAAATAAGATGAAATAAATAAAATATAATTAAGAGAGTGAAAAGATGGGAGAAGTTATATAGAAAATATAAAATGGTTAATAAGATATGAAGGGTATATAATGTGGGCATGAATTTGATTTAGGTCTGTCAAAAAAGATGTAACCTGGGGCCAAGTCACTTTTCAAAAGAAGTTTTATGTTTTATGTTTTGTGTCTTGATTATTTATGTTTGATTGTAAATTAATAAAATCTTGGAGAAATGAAATCAAAGGGAGAGAAATTGGGAAAAGACATGTATAAATGATAACTAAGGAGGTGTTTTTTTTCCCCAATGTTTTGCTTTAGGTTATGTATTTTGTGTGCTTATGACTGATTGAGAATTACTAAAACTTTGATAGAAAGAAATATAATTGAATAAAAGTGAAGGGAGAAATAATGAGAAATTTGGAAAAGATATATATGTGTAAATGGAAATGTGATAATGTGGAACTATGTTTTAAAAAAATAATGCTTTATTTGCCTTGTTAAAATTTATAAGTAATTCTTAGAAAGGAGGTTTTATACTTTTATGTGTTATGTGTTGTTTGTCTTCAAAAATCAATAAAACTTGTTCTTAAAAAAAAAAAGTAGGCACATAATCCCTCAGGGCCAATAGATAGGGATGGCTTTAGGTTATGTAGTGCTGTTTCAACATTAACTGCTGTAAAGTCAATATGTAGCAAGTTGTTACAATTTGTTGTGATGTGACTAGGAAATGGGGGGCAGCAGCAGTTGCTGTTGACAAAGACTGAACTGAAGAACATATTAAAGAGGCTGGCCTTTACAGCTTCATCATTACAGTCTTTCCCATTAGGCACTTTTAGGGGTGGGATAGATTTCGAGTCTTTAAATTTGGCATTAATGAAATTATAGAAGACTCAGAACAGTTCGAGTTTAACAGCTCTTCCTCCTGTTTGCAGTGGTGATTGGTACATCTAATCTCCATCTGGCAGCATAAGGTTTTGTAATGGTTCTTAAACTGGCTAAATAGCCAGTTTTGTTGGTTTGCCAAAGAGATTTTTTCTTGGATTGTACTTTTCTTATTGATATGGGTAATTAATTTGTTTTTTGACTTTAGGGGTTATTTTGCAAGTACACAACAAAGTACACGACAAACTACTCCTAAAACTAAAATCTTATGGTATCTCTGGACACCTGCATAACTGGATAGAAGCATTCCTGTCAAACAGACAACAAATGGTCAAAATTGGGAATGTCCTATCAAATTCTATACCTGTCAACAGTGGTGTCCCCCAAGGCAGTGTTCTAGGACCAACTCTCTTCATAATCTATATAAATGACCACTGTGATCATATTAAGAGCAACTGCGTTCTCTTCGCTGACAATGTAAAGCTATTCAACACCACAGACAATACTGCTACCCTTCGAAAAGACCTCAACTATGTATCAGAATGGTCAAACAAATGGCAACTTCAAATCTCAACAAATAAATGCTCTGTCTTACATATTGGCCAAAAAATCAGAAAATAAAATACAAGCTGAACAGTCAAGATCTTGTTGATGATCCAAGCTCTGTAAAGGACCTTGGGATACTCATATCTAATGATCTAAGTGCTAGAGCCCACTGTAACTACATAGCCAAAAAGACATTAAGAGTTGTCACGTTGTTACGGCAGCATTGCATGATGTATCAAGACTGCTTAATTGGTTGCACAATAAGTCTACTGCAGATGGTAACTGACAGTGAGAAAAAGAGGAACTTGGTAGGTGGGAAATAAGTTGCAGTTGGGTAATTGAAGAAGTACAGGAGAAACTTCCTCCTTGCCTCTTGACTTTCAGATTGGTGAAACTGCTGCCCCAAGACAGAGAGAGAGTTTTGAAATTCATTCATTCATTCATTAGTTTGTTTGTTTGTTCGTTCATTCTGTCTGTCTGTTATGTAAGATGTCAGAAGCTTTTTATCATTGACAAGGATTTATAGTAAACTTGATAAAGCATACTAGATGTTCAATTAGCACAAACAGTTACATTCAATTTGTTTTGCATGATTTAATAGCATATTATTAAGATGACATATTTCTAATCACAGGAGCATCTCAAAAATGAAATGTTCAGTTACAAAAAGCTAATATCTCATGAGTAGGCTACTGCATGGATATCAGTACAAGAGGCAAATTTATAATGCATTCATAAACATAAATACATTGCTTTTTATCATCATGATTGCTTTTAGCAGATGTAAAGATGTGACAAAATCTGTAATTAACTGTCTACTATAAAGATGCATTAATGTATAGTGGAAGCCAAAATTACTACAGCACATGGGATACCATGTGCTTGAATAGTTCCGTCAAAAGCATGCTTTTTGTGAAAGTTCCTTCCTGAAGCATCATTTTAACACTCTGAAAAGAAAGAAAAGGGAAAAAAGTTTAAAAATTCAGCTTTTCTCTATTTTTTATTTCTATCAACACAACCCTCCTTCCCCACACCCCAAAAAACCAACAACAAATATTCTACTAGGACTGTAATTGCAAGTTTTTGTCTCTGAATTATTTATTACACCAATTTCCTTCTTACTCTGGTGCTGGTTTCAGCCCCAGTAAGTTAGACCCTCTTTTGTGTGCAATATTCAGAACTGGCTTATATCAAATTTATTAACATCGCAACAGCTTACTGATGGTGTCTTCCAATTGGCTTTATATTTCTCAGTGTTTTCCAGTGTTGTGTCAGGAACTTCAGATGTATACGTTCAAAAGTCAAACATGAATCCTGACATCATAACACAAATCCCACAATTTACTGCTAGTCCTCAACATACCGCCATTTGTTTAGTGACTGTTCAAAATTACAGTGACACTGAAAAAAGTGACTTATGATTGGTTTTCACACTTGCAACCATTGCAGCATCCTCACAGGCACGTGATCAAAATTCGGGCACTTAACAATTGGCAGATATTTAGGAGATGGTGAATCACATGACCCTGGGAGAGTTGCACTGTTCCAGTGATCACCATTTGCCTCCAACGAGCAAAGTCAATGGGGAAAGCCACATTCACTTAAAGATCACATGATTCACTTAACAACTCTGGCAAAAAGCATCTAAAATGGGTAAAATCACTTAACAAGTGCCTTGGAACTTGAATGAAAATTTAGGACTCAATTGTAGTTATAATTAATAACTGGTAGTTACACCGGTTGGATCCCACCCCTGGTTAAGATGCAAATACAAAATGTTGGGGGTTCACAACCTTCCATTGCAGTACACCTTATGTCACATTTTGTCATCAAAATTTGTCGCAGACACATGTCACTCATCTGTAATGGTCCGCAGCATTCAGAACACCAAAAGCATAATCAGAGAAAGTGGTCTCATTGATATTTTACCTCTATGACCCTTAGCCCAATGTCAGCTTCCCCATTCAATCCCAGCCATAACTCCATTTTAGTAAGACATCTATCACTGCCTGCAATGCTGGGGCTGCTTTCAAAATGTAGAAATAAAATTGATGGTCTTAAGTGAATCTAGCTGCATTCAGAATCATCAACCATTGCGTTTTAATGAAAGCAACCAGTGGTCTATGTCAGGGGTCTCCAAACTTGGCAACTTTAAGACTTGTGGACCTCAGTTCCTAGAATTTCCCAGCCAGCTGGCTGAGGAATTCTGGGAGTTGAAGTCCACAAGTCTTGAAAGTTGTCAAGTTTGGAGATCCCTGGTCTACCATTTTATTTATTTAATTATTTATTTATTTATTTGATTTGTCAATTGCTTACAAGATAATAAGTATAAGTATAAACATGAGTAAGAATACAGGAAATAGGTACGAATAAATGGGGACAATAGGACAGGGACAGTAGGCATGATGGTGCACTTATGCACGTCCCTTACAGACCTCTTAGGAATGGGGTGAGGTCATGCTTTAAGAAAATGGATTCCAGACCACATGGCAGTTTCTGCATAAAATAAAAATGAAACGCAATGTTTTCCCTCTTTTTTACTTCTAGAATAATATGAAACCTGAGTTTTGAGAAGATATAATGTCTGGGAATCCCATGCAGACCCTGTTTTTGTTTTGTTTTGTTATTTTTTATGTGCAATTCGCAGGCTACAATTATTTAAATTGGTGACATTGCATCCTGTCATTTTGAGATGGGAATCTCTACCCAAACTGTAGCATAAGCCCTAAAACAGACTTAAGATAGTATAAAAATGATAATAAATAATAAAAGTAATTTCCCTTCCCAAATAATAAGCCAAACATCCCCCAAAAAATTCCTGCAAACAAACCATAAACTAGGAAACAGGGAAAAACATTGATCTAAAAATTAAATGTACATGTATCATTTTAATTCTAAGCTACTGTAAGCAAATGCAATTAAATGAGGAATTCTACTCACAATGGAAAGCTATACTGTACTATGTACCAGAAAGTATCTTACAATGTGTCTCCTATAAAAGGTTGTTGCATTCATGGAAAGGACAAAACCAACATTTGTTCTTACCCTCTTCTGCAAAGATATGAAAAGGACAAAACCAACATTTGTTCTTACCCTCTTCTGCAAAGATATGAAAAAAGCACCATGGGACACCAGGTGGTTTGCTCTCAAAACAGCACTTTCTCCTTGCGCATTCATTGGCAGAGATTCCTGGGTAGCCACAGTTCTTGCGGAGTTTCACATCTGCAGGACACACCTTTCTATCTGTTTTGAAAATAAATTCAGTCAGGCTTAGTGAGTCAGGGCTAGTTGCAATTTGGTTCTGAACAGGGGTGGGATTCAAATTTTTTAACAACTGGTTCTGTGGGCATGGCTTAGGTGGTGGGCGTGGCTTGGTGGTCATGTGACTGGATGGACATGGCTTGGTGATCATGTTATTGGCTGTGCATGGCCAACTCAATATCATTCACATCGAGTCACGCATCTTCTCGCCTGGCCTCTCATGCCTGTGGGGATGCTGCAGCAGTCGTAAGTGTGAAAAACGGTCATAAGTCACTTTTTTCAATGGTCATTCCATACAAGCAAAGTACCAGCAAAGGAAGGGAAAAGAACTCCAGAGACGTTCCTGAGACAGGAAGTCTAATCCTGCCAAGAATGTAATAAGGGTTAACGGAGAGGCAGTTTCTGTAAGCAACAACAGAATGTTTCCTTCCTGCCTTCCTTACAGGATTAGGCCAGTAATTTCTTCTAACAATCGTTCTCTGAACTGCTTAGAATGTCAACAACCGGTTCTAGCGAATTGGTACGAACTGGTAGAATCCCACCCCTGGTTCTGAATATGCTATATATAATAGATTCTATAATACTGTAGCTGTACAACATGCTGTCTATCATGAAAACAACAATTGGGAAGACGCCATCAGGTGTCAGTTGAAGCCATTAGGAGGTGCTGTGTTTTCCATATACAGATGTGCTGCCCCCCATTTTATTAAAATTCAGATTCCATGAACATATTTACTGTGGATAACAGAGGCTGATTTAAAAACTCAATTTAATGTATCATTCAGAAGGAGAAATCTTCATTAGTTCTGTATGTCCATTAAATCTGAAAAATACATAACTTACATTATTTGTGTAATGGAGTCATTTTGCAGATGATGAAAATTGTATCTTGCATCAGTGTATATTATTTGCCTAATATGACATAGATTGATTATGATTTTATTAATTTATTAATTTATTTGATTTTTAAATTAGTTTTACAGTTTTAAATGTGGTTTTTATATTCTGGAAGCCACCTTGAATCACCATGGGCGAATAGGCAGCAATATAAATTTAATAAATAAATAAATGATGTAAAATTTTAACAAAACGTTTATAAATATGAATACCTTGCCTTGATTATTCAGATACAATCCATTATTTCAGAAAGATGACTGGATGGAATTTTTGTCTGTTGCATTCAAAATCCATTAAAAATGGCATCATTAAACTTATATTTTATTATGTTTCATAACAGTAATTCCAACTTATCTGAGCAGAAGGAATAAAGACTAAACATATTGTAGCAGTTAGAAGTAATAGGTTTAATGAAATATGTATCAAATCACTGAGAAATTCAAAACAAAGCTGTATATTCTTCATAACATGTATTGCAAACTATGCTATGTTGTTTAGGAAATCATTTGAGAAATGTGTTGAAGTATTTAAAGGTCTTACCTTAAGGAACCACCAATTAATAATTCATCTAACTGGGCTTGTGTGGGAATGATTGTCAAAAGTAGTTTGGGTTCTGTTACTTCCCAAAAAAGACTTTATCATATAGTTGTGTTACCTTTAGAAATTACTAACAGCCAAGAAAATTATTTATTTAACAGACTATAATCTCTAACATGAAACAATAGGATAAGAACAAATGCTGTATTCAGACAAAACCTAGTAAGCAGTGTGTACTAATAATTAAAATTGTAATGATACTTTTAAAATGCTGACTCAAATTTAAGTAGTAGAACTGCCCAATGCCCAACTGCCCAATGGCCTAATGCATAACATAAATCAATCTCACAGGTCTCCTGCCTCATTTCTCTTTCAAAAGGTAAAATCAGCTGTGCATGTTTCAGTAGAACTCAAAATGTGATGTACAGTATAGCTTTTAAGAGTTCTCTTGATGGAGCCTGATTGTAACAGTCCAATTTTAACTCAATTTGATTGTCCTGTACAGTGGTTGATTTATTCCAAATGAGAGCTTTGAAAATGAAGGTAACACCTTTCTGTAACTCTTTAAAGCAGATATGTGGAGGCACAGCTGTGCAATCCAAGAAAAGACGTGGCTGCATTAAAGAGATACAGACAGGATTTACATTTGCAGTCTTCCACTGAAATTCCTAGAATTAAATGAGAAGTGCTACACAGATCATTTTATTTTGCTTAAAAGTTTTTGCTCAAGCAGGCAGCATCTTTAATTATCACAAATTTCCTTAGATACTTTATGTAGATCTGTTTAGATCTATTTACCTTTCTGAACTTCAGCTTCTCCTATTTGTGACCTCAATACTTGATAAACTACCAATTAAGAGTAGATTGGAAAATGGAGTTAAATATACTGTATATTTTGAATAAATAATCAGTACTCCAACTAGCTTTTAAATTTGCTTCTACTGTCATTGAAGATAGATACTATTTTTAGATAATATATTTCTATATATAAAATATGAATTTGGGGGTTTGGGCCATATCGAGAGAAACTTTCTGTATTTGTTTTGATTAAATGAAACATCTCTCCAACTCTCATAGTTATAAGATAATTATAAGATATAAAGAAACCATCTATCCAGGGACCAGTACTTCTCTGTTTCTCTTGAGTCTGGGTTACTCTAATTGGGTACAATTAAAAAAATAAAGAACCTGTGGCATTGTCTCACTTCTACCACCAGCAAGATATCTGTTAGAAAATTCTTCCTGATGAGAGGCCTTGTCTATTCCACTAATGTGTATATTATTTAAGAACTGGAAAAGTCTTTTTTGTATCACAATTACATTTTGGAGGGGTTGGTTTGAAGCACCAAGGGACTCCTGGCACTGTTGAACTGAAGCAACATCCTGAATTTTCACATTCCTGGGGCGTGATCCCAGGAGCTCCACAGTTGGTTCGTTTGTGGGGATCAACGTCACATCGGCATTTTGCTGTCAAAAGACAAAACTCCAGTTATCCCATATTGCCAATGTATGGCAAATGATTTATGCAGAACTTCAGAAATGCAGAAAAAGTGTCACCTCACTTAAACTTTTGACAAGTAAGCGGGTTCCCATTTTTAGATGCTGCTGTGAAATATTAATATAATAATTGTCTACATCATGGTTAGTTTCTGTTAAAAGACACCTTGTGAATGGCACATTGCTCCAGACTGTTAGCAGAATCAATTCAAACCAAGGAATCTTGTTACCGAGCTAATTCCTTGTTGCTGAAATAGTTCATTAGTTGGGTGTTGTTTTGAATGTTTTGCTATTAACATACTTATCCAGAGATGTAAGTTTTAAGAACATTGATGTTGCCTCTTCAGCTTCATCTTTGTGGATTCAGTCATGCTGGAAAGCTCTTAAACCAAAAGCAATATTATACCAAACCACATGGCTGTTAAGTTTTAATGCACGTATTGAGCCTTCATGCTGTCGAACCAGCATGGTCTTTGAGACCAACCTATGTGACCAAACCTATGAGTCCAAATTAGAAGAGGTGCTGGATCATAAGAAGTTCTCTGTGGAGGAAGCAACAGCTCAAAGGATCAAGTGCTGGTATCTCTCTGCATCAAAGAGATGTTGAAGAAAGAGTAAGAAAGAGATGTTGGGGTTGTTGTGTTTCCCTAATCTTATGTTTTATAATTTCTGTAGAGAAAATATTTCTAGATTCTATTGGAATTCTTCACGGGACTTATGGATTTCATTAAGAAGCTATCATCTCTTTCCAAATGTCTACAATTCACATTCCCAGCACTATATTTTTCTTTATCTACTTGTAATGCTAGAACTAAATAAACATGTTTTTGCTCTTTACCCAGAAAATGTAGTTTTCTTCTATATAGCGGTTACCCAACAAGCATAGAAGCAGGACATGGAATAATCATTATAACAATAAGAACAATTTTATACTGGAATAATGTTATCACCTGCAGAAATAATGTCCTTTTCACTGGATATGTTGAATGACAGGCTAGAGACTCATCAGTTGAGGATGCTTCAATATGAATTTCTGGACTAAGAACAGCTGGACAGCCCTTTTTCTGTTTAAAAATTTTATACTGTAAAGCATGCATGCATAGTTTAATCCTTAACTCCCAACCTTTTTGGCTCAACGGACTGCAGCAGCAGAGGCAGTGACAGAAGGGGATGGTTTCATATGTGCAAATTAGCTCCTGTGCCTGTACACATGAAGCTTTGCACTCTTGCCTGTCACTTGCTCCAGCCTGGTTCCCAACAAGCCATGGACTGGTAGCAGTTCTCAACCCAGAGCTGGAAATCCCTTCCTAGCTGATTAATGGTTAATGTCTGATTAATGTCTAACCTACAAGGTTTCGCAATCGCAGAAATAAAATTATTTAAAAGATTCAAAACACCGGCAATTAGTTAAAACTTTCTAAATATTAGATGAGTTAAATATCATATTTAGTGTCTTCCACATTGAAACATTGATGCAAAATGCTCGTTCTAAAGCAAAGTACTTACGTGGAGCTGTTACCCCTTCAAGCAGTATGCTGCAACCTAGAATTAAAATAACTAGACATAACCAGAGCCTTTTCTGATTCTTCATATTCTACAATCCTCGAATTTGGTTCAAAGAGAGTATTATTTATGTGGCATAAATGGAGCTTATTTTATATCATTATGTTTGTATACTTCATTCAGATAACAAATTTCCTGTTAAACTCCACCTCCAGTAAATTAGAAAATGTAATTTAGATTTTTATTAGATATGTGGTGGAGGTATCTGGATAATATTTACAAAGGGAAAATAATAAATGTCAGCCAGGTGTTTATATTAGCCAACTGTCAAATATTGAACAGTTTCAAATGAAATAAATTTTAGAAAACTAAAAGGCATGCCTTTTTTTAAAAAAAATCCCTCTGCTTCATGCCAATACATATTTACTAAAAAAAAAAAAAGCTTTTGCTCCATTTGTATTTCAATCCAGATACTTCTTTACAAAACTTTCTACTCTGTTCTTTCTGATCCTTTCTGCTGTGTAATACAAACTTCTCCCTATTGTTGAGCAATATGGAAATTGACCGCTCAGGTATGTATGTAGATTGAGTAACGTGCCATTTTTTTTCATTTTCCTCCTCAAATGCACTCATGAAACTTAGGGAACATTTCTTTAACAGTGAATTTAAATTTAAGTGGCAAAATATATATCATTAAATGCTAATACCAATATCAGAACCAATTAAAATTGAACTAAATAAAGCAACAAAGCCATGGGAAAAATCTGTCTTCTTTAAGTCTGGATACTGAAAGAATTGGGACATGACAAGCTTCAGATGGTATGAAGTTCCCATGAAGACTTGCTTTTATGTTGATACTAATCTGGAAGAAAACCAGCTTTGATTTTCTTAAAGGCTAAGCATTCAGGCATGGATGACTTTTAAAAAATACTTAGAATTCAAGTTAATTACAGGTAGTCCTCATTTAGTGACCACAATTGGGATCAGTAACTTGGTTGTTAAACAAAATGATTGCTACGTGAAAACATGACTGTGCTTATGATCTTAATTCATCTTTCTTTTGCTTCAGAAGTTTAGAAGTGTCATAAATGTGAGGATAGGTCACAAAGTTATTTTTTCATCACTGTCATAACTGGAAACAGTCATAGTACGAGGCTAAATGAGGGCTACCCATATAGCTTTAAAGTATAGAGAATTGCACCTAGAATTGGAAAGATCTTCAAATGGAGTAAGCATGGTTGTATTTGCTCTGTTCTTATTTAAAGACCTAGTTCCCATATTTTGGACCACCTGTATGGCTAAGATATCCAAGGATATCTTTTTGTGTACATGCCTTTACAGTTATCTATCCAAGAAGTGGCAAGAGTCTATCATCAGTGTGTTATAGAAATGGCCCTATTTAATCCAACAACCAAAGCTGAAAGAATGCCTTTAAATCTGTGCATTGAATACAAACCTTAATGTACTTTCAAATTGTTTATTTTGAATATTTAGTCCAAATATGTACCACATGTGGTGAATTGGCTATTATTTATAATTCAAATTGTGCAAAAATATGAAATTGCTGTTGATTAATTCTTTGATAATTCTAGTAATGATGCTACAGTTCTTTCTCCTGAAAAAGTGAGAAGAGAAACAGAAATACTCTCAAAATATTGAACACTAAACCTTTATTACAACAATACAAAGAATATGAGCAAATCTCCATACTAATGTTATGTCAATTGGCCTTCACTCTGCAAGCATTTCTTCAAACAAACCATATTTCTTTCAATGTTGTTCTTCAGAGAGAATAATTTCCTTGTTTTTCATGCGGATGGAAACACCAGGGGACTGTTTTGGCATACTGGTAATGTTCATAACAACATCCTCTGGCCATGCATTCATCAGCAGAGATGTCAGACGCTCCACATGACACTCGTTTCTTGGGTGCCATTCCACATAGCCTTGCAGGTACTTAAAACAAAATTACAGAAAGGAAGTATAGTCTTGCTGTCTTGGAATATTTTCTTTTGGTGATAAAGCAATATCAGAACAATGGATGTAGAAAAATGATACGATTCATCTTAGTGGAAAGATTCCCCCATCTCAAACAAAAACTTACTTCTTATTGGTATTATGATTATTATAATTATCATTACTCTGTGGCTTTGCACGTACACTGAGAGCTTCGGCACAAGAAACAAATTCCTTGTGTGTCTAATCATGCTTGGACTAATAAAGTATTATATTATGAATTAATTTATATAATTATTTATAATATTTCTTTGCTCCCTTTAAGACAAAAGTCTGCTATGGCAGCTTTCAGAGATAAAACCATTCTATTATAGAGTCATACTATAATAATAGGCAAGCAATGCTGATAAGATAACAATTAAAATTATTAAACTTATCAGGGCTGCCTGGCAAGCCACTACAACAATACTTCTTCTTCACGGAACTCAGCACATTTCCATGAAAGTCAAGACTCAGTTTGATTAGATAAGATGTTTTATTTCAAATATGACTGATGCTAGCACAACAAAAATCCACTACTGAACAGCCTAAAAAACTTTTTAAAATCTCTTTCCTCCTCCCCTCCCCCACATCTACGTCTATCTCATATCCTATTCTGACTTCAGATTGATTTTCTGTCTTTCCGTTTCAGATAAATATGGCTCCCATGGATGGATACTTACCTGTGTTTGACAGAGGATGAAAGCACCACCGGGTATTAATGTCATATGAATTGAAGCAACATCCCTTTGCTTGGCATTCCTCAGCGGTGATGCCTGGGTAACCACATTCTAGCCTTGCACTTCCTTCCATTACACAGTTTTGAGAAGCTATTCAGAAAAATGAATCACATTACATACATAAAATCATCCTTCTTTATATTTTTCATTTTAAAAAATCTGGGAGAAGTGTAGAGTGGATGATCTTTGAAAACATGATATGAATAAATGCTTAGTGAGAATACTTAAGAAAACTTAAGCTTAAAAAACCCAAACACAAGCATTCAAGTAACAGAAATCTTCTTCTGGGTGGACTGTAAATTCTGGTTTTTCTGCAGCCAACATAACAAACTAAAGAGATGGCTGCTTTGGCTTTTGATATGGACTGTTTCCTGGTATGATTTGATTGCTTATTGTACCCTATGACTATGATTAAATGTTGTTCCTTATGATTCTTGATGAATGTATCTTTTCTTTTATGTACACTGAGAGCATTTGCACCAAGACAAATTCCTTGTGTGTCCAACCACACTTGGCCAATAAAGAATTCTATTCTATCCTATTCTATTCTATTCTATTCTATTCTATTCTATTCTATTCTATTCTATTCTATTCTATTCTATTTCTATTCTATTCTATTCTATTCTATTCTATTCTATTCTATTCTATTCTATTCTATTCTAAGGCTCTTACATACATGTTACTTCTTTGAGGGTGTCAGCATACTTTTACCAGAAATTGACTTGTGAGCTGGTTTTGCTTTTTTCCCCCTTTTTCTGCTTTTTATTATGTTAATATAAATATTGACACATTATTTCATTTCAGTGCAATATTTACATAATATGCTAACATTATTAATGTTATTTATTTAGATACTTTAGAGAAGGGGAGGTTCCAGCCTTGGCAACTTTAAGAACCATGGACTTCAACTCCCAGAATTCCCTAGCCAGCCATCATGGCTGGGGAATTCTAGGAGTTGAAGTCTGCAAGTCTTAAATAAGAGGGAAAAAATGGATTTTAAAGAAAATGGGGAAAAGTGGATATACATTTTATTGCCTTTCTTTCTTTCTTTCTTTCTTTCTTTCTTTCTTTCTTTCTTTCTTTCTGAATTCAAAAAAATACCTACCTTCATTTACCGGGGGATGAAAACAAGTTGGTGCACCAGGTGCCTTTAGATCAAAGCAGCATCCAATTCGTTTGCACCTTTTGCGTGTGATCCCTTGATAGCCACACTCCTTTCTTTCTTGAGATGGAACTGTTTTCCTTGCATAGGTTACTGAAGCTGTTATTGTAAATAATATTTAGGTCACTGTATTTTCCAGATAACAAGCTTGGCTGTGGCATAAAAAATAAAGTTGCATGCTGCCTGAATTAATATTTATTACGAATGGCTTGAATTTGACTAATGTCTGGTCTAAGGGTTTTAGGTTTGTTTTATTAGTAAACCTGACAGCATGGCTCCATCCTCATAATAGTTTAACGCCAGAAAAGCTGATCGCACAGATTTTATTTAATTATTCATTCATTTTTTAGTCCTTATATAAGTTGTTCCAATATGATCCAAAGAACTTTGAGTGCCTCTTATTTCTCTCTTAGCATAAGGATCAGAATAGATGAATACTAAAGAAACAGTAAACTCAAATTACAATTGCAAAACACCCAGCAAACAAGGAACAATTGTAAAATAAACATACAAAAGTCATGATAGCAACAGCAATAGCACTTAGACTTAAATACCCCTTCACAATGCTTTACAGCCCTCTCTAAGCAGTTTACAGAGTCAGCATATTGCCCCCAACAATCGGAGTCCTCATTTTACCAACCTCTGAAGGATAGAAGGCTAAGTCAACCTTGAGCCAGTGAGAATCCATTTCCTGGCAGTGATTAAAGTTAGTCTGCAATACTGTATTCTAACCACTGTGCCACCACGGCTCTTGGTGCCAGTGTTGGTGAGCTCACTACTAGCAATTCCACTTACAAAGCTTTTATACAAATATACACACATGTTTTAATGGCTCTGTTAAAACTTAACAGGGTGCTAAAACTTAATTTGGTTTTGTAGGATGCTTTTCAAAGATGCAGTTATAATTAAGAAGGCTTTTGACTGCATGGCCCCCGAAAAGGGAAGTTCTGTAAATATCCAGGCCTAAGTTGTGTAGAACTGACAACCAGCACCTACACTACCTGGAAGTAGTGTAGTTTTGGAGTATAAAAACAACAACCTCTCAATATTCCCATAATTACTTGAATCAATGCATTTCATGGTAAAAATTTCCCATACTAACAGTTTCTTACAGGATGTTGGTCTATGGATGGAGATTTTCCACCAACTATATGCATTAGAAATATCTTTGACTGGGATTCTTTAAAGCTACAAAATATTTATTTAATCACTGTGAAGACTCTCAGTCATCCAGGTCATGGTTTTCCCAAAGGTGCTTTTTCAAAAGGCAACTGGACTTTGTTTTTCTTTGAAGACATTTTGTTTCTCATCCAAGAAGCTTCTTCTGTTCTGACTGGATGGTGGAGAACAGAAGGGTTTATATTCCTTGCAGTCATCTGATCATTAGCACTCTTTCTGAAAGTTATTGAGGCCACTTGGAGGTTTATCTGTGCTCTCGGGGTCACCTGAAGAATGCAGATGGGTGTGGAAATTTTGTGGAATTACTAAAAAGACTATATAACAATATAATTTCCAGCCATTCCAGGAAGCAAGTCTAGTGGTCAGGAGCTCTAGAAGCTGTAGATTAGCAGCATCTAAAAGACTGATATCCCATTTTTGGGATCACCATGACCTGGATGTCTGAGAATCTCCATTGTCATTACCTCTTTCACCTGATGGTTTGAAGCACCAGGGGACATCGGGCACTGATGCATCAAAGCAGCATCCATTTTCTGTGCACTGCTCTGCAGTAATGTTTTCTGAAAAAAATCCACATTCCTCTCTTTCACTGGTTTCCATTAGACATTGGCAGGCATCTGTTTGGAAGAAAGGAATTGGGCAGTTGCCTGCAATCTTTTCTTCTTTGTGAATACATTTTTCTCTAATTCAGTAATCAGTATTTCTGACTAGATATATTTACCAGGGCTCTTTTTCTGATATGCTCATTTCATTTTTTTCAAAATGGAAAATACAAGAATCATAATACTGCAGATAATAACCAATTATTTAGAGATAAGAATCATTCTGTACTAATATTTATTAATAATACATTTGGAACAATCACAGTTGTTATTTCTCTGCAGATTGGGTGGATCGTAGAATCTTAATTATGAGTTGTGTTCAGATCATCCCATGATTATTAATAACAGCTTCTTCTCTGTATGGTTTTACAATTTCTTAACATATATAGAAGATTGATATAAATATTCTCTTTTATATTAACTACTGGTGCTTTCAGTGAGACTATAAATAAATCCAGTCTATTAACCACACCACACAGACACAGATTGTTTAATATACTAAGAAATAAAAAACTCTATCATATAGCCATAATTTCAAAATATGTTGGCAGGTTCCCTACATAGATTTACAGTGTCTGAACACCCAAATCCCTCATTGATTCCTGTAGACTTTTAACAGAACGTATTAAATCTAGATTCAAGATTCTCCAAAACGTTTTCTGGTTGTAGGAAATACACAAGGATTAAGTTTCTTTATGGTCTAGAATTCTGATGGCCTATTTTCTGGGATAGCACATACTAAATCTCAGCATTCTAATCTGCAATAGTGTCGTGTGGAGAAAATAACATGCACTCAATGAAGTATTCACACAAATAGATATCCTAACAAAAATTCTTAATCCCAACACTTGGGTGACTACACATATGTCACCATTTGCCACCTCTCTCCTCCTCTCCCTTGCAAACATCCCTGCTTGTAATTTCCCCTGAGTACCACTGGGACAAATCCTTTATGCTATTTGCCTAGCTAATTCAGCTCAGAAATCAAATGTTTTCTGGTTCAAATACTTTGGATGTGGTTACCAGATGTCCGTCAAAAGGAGACACATCTTCTGCTTTGTCATCATGTCCTCTGTCCATCAGACATAGTCTTAAAAATCAAATATTATCTGGATGCTTAAGTATCTTCAATAGCAATAGCACTTAGATTTATATATCGCATCATAATGCTTTACAGCCCTCTCTAAGTGGTTTACAGAGTCAGCATCATCTAGGTCCTCATTTTACCAGCCAAAAAGCTCAACCTTTTTGACTTAGGTCAGGGGTCCCCAAGCCCCAGGCTGTGGCCTACTGCCAGGCCATGACCTATTCGCAACTGGGCTGCGCAAGAACCGAGCCAGTGTGCAAGCACATGTGCGCAGCTTGGCTTGCATGAGCAATGGGCCAGCCTCCATGCACATGTGCTGTGCATGTGTGCACATGCACACTGTCTTGCCACTTGTGCAAGTTGAGCTGTGCTGCCCGGTTCCCTACTCCCTCTGTGCTGGGCCCCCAAGCCTCAAAGGTTGCGGACCGCTGACTTAGGTTGACTGGTACCCTCCAGACTGCCTTCTGCCTGAAACTGATATGACCTTAATCACTTAGTTGATGCAGGCTATTGCCTCCTCACTTGCTCTAGTACATTCCTGTGACTGGAAAGCTAGTCTTTCTGATGCTGGAAAAAATAATCTCATATAAATGTAGGTCTAGACATGGGTTGTTGGTATTTTTTGCAATTTTTCACTGTAATTTTTATTGTGGAACTAAAAAAAAAAGTATGCTAGCATGTCTTCCTTTTTCTCCCATTTGATCTTTTCCCCAATTTCCATGTCTTTCTTATCTATTCATGTATCTGGTAATGTACCCACTACTCCAATGCTTTTGGGTGGTTCTATGATGCCTGAAGAGATATAATAAGAGAGCCAGACATAGACCCAAAAGTGAAAATAGTGTTCTGAAGAACAATCATGTATATGTCTATTCAAAATGTGTACTAATGAGGCCCTTGACTTTAGAATTCCCACATCCTTTAGTTGGGACAAACATATATTTGGGTTATGAACTATATCACATTGACATACAGCCATATGAGTAAAGATAAAAACTTTGCCCTTTCCAGGTATCTTTGACTCTAAGGGGAGGTGCTCATCTCACTAGTTTCTTAGCCAAGGGAATCAACATTATGCAGATATTTCTGTGGTCATGTAGCCAGCATGACTATATGCCAAGGCACATAGAATGCTGTAGGTTGGCAGGAGCTGGGACAAGTAATGGGAGCTCACCCCATTGCATGGCACTCGAGCCTCAGACCTGGGCTGTCCAACTTTCCAGCTGACAAGCTCAGTGTCTTTAACTGCTGAGACATTCCCCCCAACCCCCGTCATATATATTCATATAATTATAATGTATTCATATGAATATAGAGTCATATATATTCATATGAATAAATTATAATATAGCAAATAAAAATAAGTCTCTTGTCCATTTTTGCTTGCCTATTAATCCATTAATAGTTAACCCATGACTTTATCATCCATTCACCTTGCTTAAGTTATTAATAAATATTATATACTTACATGGTGGACGATTATCCTTTTGAGGGCAAACAAATCCAAAACACAAGGCAGTAGCTAGTACTAAACAGGTCTTATATTCCATTCCTTTATCTTCTATCTGTGCTCTTCAGTGTTCCTTAAATATATAAATACACATGATCATAATTTCTAATTGCAAGTCTCTCTCTCTTCAAAAATGTTGCAGCACAGTTAAGATTAATTCAAAACACTTACTTGTGGTTGTGATTCTATAACAATTACCCAACTGAATTACCCAACCATAAAATACTTCAGTCCTTAAATACTGTAAGCGTTTTTAATCACATGGCAAAATAACTTTCACTAGATTCATAACAATAACAGGAAAACATTTCACAGCCAAGAGTTTCACTTCTCCTGCCAGTATTTTTTGCCCTTTCTCAACCCTGGAGAGTGTGGTTGTGATATTATTCCCATTGAAGACTCTGGGCTCTTCTGACAGTTTCAATTTTGGGGGTGAGCTTCAGAGAGGTTTGGATTATATTTAGTTCACATTAAAGCTGTTTTCAGGACAAAATCTTGTATTTTATAGACTACAAGCCTGACTCTTAAAAATAAATCAAATAATATAGCACTACTTCTGATTTTTATCTTCCTTCTACTTAATGTGGAGATAATAAGGAATTATTATCTTTTAAAAGTATTTGTACAATGTATCTACAATGTATTCTACAATGTACCTCATAAGTTTTTTTTAACTCTTTGTTGTGACAAAATAGTCCTTTTGGGCTTTGTTTTGCAAGGATGCAGACCAAGCTATATAAGATAGAGGAATTATCACAGTTCCTTGCTCTGCCTATGGTGTATGAGTATCCCAATACTTCTAATCACTGGCTTTGCTGAAGAGAGCTGCTGTCTTGAACACAAATAGCTTTTGTATGATTGGCAACATGAAATTCAACAAACTAGAAATGAGTTTGCTAGTATATAATACATACCATTGCTAAATATTACATAAAGTAAGAGGCAGATAATTTAGTTAAGGCCAACACTGAAGTGTCACATTTGGTTATCCAACATCTCTTGCAAACTTTCACCAAAATGCCATCCCGGATATTTCCACAGTTCAATTCCTATCATTCTAAAGTTCTTTCAGGGGAAATTTATCCCCACCATCTGTAATTTAGGCCTTTAAATTTAATTCTGTCTTCAAAAACAGAAGAAAATATAAAAAATTAATTATCTTCTGTATGACAAGCTATTGAGTATTTAAGGAGTGCTTTCATGTCTCTCCCCCATGTTTCCTTCTCCAGCCTAAATGTAGCCAGCTGTTTTAACCTTTGCCCAGGGGTCCTTTGCCAAACCTCTTAGTATCTTTATTGTCCTCTGGAATCATTCAATTTTGTCTATATTTTTCTTGAATTGGAAATGTTTCTGCTTTTTATCATCCTAATCAATCTTATCTAATGATCTGACTAGTACAGCATAAAGTGAAACTATTGTTTCTGTAGCAAGTAGCTTATGAAATTGTATCACTACAGATTTCCATCTTGAGAGTTAATACCTGTGGGAAAATGTTAATATTTCCATATTTCCATATAAATTCACTGCACCTGCCCCCATACTTTCAAAAACAAATTCATCTGACCCTACCCTATCCCACAATTTAAAAATATATTTAAAAGCTTAATTATTTTAAATATCATTTGGCTTTCAAAAGCACTTACAAAAAGAAAGCATAGAAAAAGTCAAAGAAACACATAAAGATTTTAATCTTACCTGAACTGTTGAGAAGCTAGAAATATTTGACTTGTGCTACAGATATGAATCCTGGAATAATGCTGCATTTCCTGCCTACTTGGGGCCCAAGCATCAATTTTGTATAATGCCTCTTAGTCTGTGAAATCATATTTTAATGACTGTGAAGTTACATCATGCATTAACAGAGTCTGCAGTGCTTTATTTTTAAAAGAGCAAAGAACAAAGGGCTTGTTCATACATAATAGTTTAGGACTTGGGCAGCAGGCTACACTTCCCAAATTATTTGTAAGATGTTCAGCTACTTCACTGTCTTGGCATTAGTTTCCCTGAACTGTTGCTGCAATATATAGGCAATTATGGTGGATGTTTTCCATATTTGGATATGCCATAACCCCTGGATATGTTGACATCAAGGATCTGCCCTGGAATTCAGACAGATTTGCTTGGAAATCTTTATCTTTAGAATGCACTGTTTTGTGACAACCCTTGTTTTCCTGAAAGTAATACAAACTACATTGTACATTGTACATCTACTTTTTAATAAGAAACACCGAAAAGGCAGATAAATTGGAAGATAATATTTCCCTATTTTTTCTGCACTGATAACTATGATACAAACTGCAAAAAAAAAATCTGTATTTCAATAATATGAGTGATATGAGTGTTGAGTTTCATATTCATACTGTTTGGTACTTTCCATAGCATAACATGAAAAGTTCATAGCACCTCAAGCAAACTCACAGAATATATAAATGATTTAGGCTTCAATTAAGCAAGATCCTGAAATTATTCATTTTCACACTTACATCATACAGATAAAGTCAATTAAATGGAAAGAAACTTGTAGCCCAGCAGTGACTTAGAGGGAAAGATACAAACCTTGTACTTGAAGCAGGCTTGAAACACCAGGGGACATTAAGTACATTTGAATCAAAACAGTAATGTTTACCTCTGCACTGAGCTTCAGTAATGGGGCCAGGGCCACAATTTATTCTTGTTGTTGCTGGAACATTGCATTGCTCCATAGCTATTTGAAAGAGAGCACAATATTAACAGGCTGATTTATTTATCATATGTTATTGTTTCTACAAATAATAGAATAATTATTTAGCATTGTGGCAATAATTCCATTAATTATAATATTAGCTGCAATACCAAAAAAACCCTAAAAGAATTGCTGTCCAGTGAACTATTTCTTACATATTCTAATATTTCTTCCCTTGTTCTATTTTCATTTTCCAAATTCTCATTACCTCCTGTTGGCTTACTACTGAGCAATTTTGCCTATGCTTTTACTATTCATATTTAATCTCTCACTGTTTGATCTCTCATACTATACATACCATAGAGAAGTAATGAAAATGTATACACTTTCAAGAATTGGCATTGCTGAACCCTATGGTTAGGCAAATGGTCAAAACCCAGAACATTTTAATTTCTGTTGAAGTTTCTATGTTCTCTCTCCCAGAAATAAGATGGCGATTCTTCTTGGAGAAAGCTGCTCAGGACAAAGACACAAAGCAACTTGACTTCCTTAATTTTTCTTGAAGATCCTTCACTTCTCATCTAAGAAACTGCTTCAGTATTTAGTTGGGAGCCAGTCATTAACATTTTGAGAATCATTGAAACCACCTGGGAGCTAATATGTATCCCCAAAATCACCTGAAAGAGTACAAACTGCCGTGGAACTGTCTAGGGTCTGCTGAAAATATTGCATTGTAAACAGGAAATAAGTAATGTCGAATTCCTCTTCCAACCAGTAGTCCTCTCTGTTCAGAACATAAACCTTGTCTTTCAGATGCAGATGGACTGTTGAATCCTGTCCTGATGAGTTATTTGTCCTTTGTTGTGTCATGTGGTTGTTTTATTTCCCCAATATAAAATCTGCACATTTGTTTTGCTCCCCCTATGTACAAAACTGCACATGCCATGTGTGTGTGTGTGTGTGTGTGTGTGTGTGTGGTCCCGGGTTGCTTGAGGGACTGTTTCACCCCACCAGCATTGATCCGTACCACTTGTGCCATCAGAGGAGGTATGCTGCAGGTCCCATCAGCCCAATTATTCTGGCTGTCAGGATCCAGGAGGAGGGTTTCTCTGCTGTTGCTCTTGCCCTCTGGAATGTCTTTCCCCCTCTGTGTGAGGCTGACCCCAACCTTCCTATCTTTTCGTAAAGGCCTAAATGTTGACCAGGAATTTGGAGAAAGCATAGAAGGCCTGTATGTGCAGATGGCTCCATTATCTCTGCATACCTTCTTCAAGACCATGGAAAGCTCCTTGGAAAACACCCAATGCCCCTAGGGTGACTGACACCTGATGTCCTTGGAAGACTTCCAAGGGTGGGCAGATGACTATTTATCTTCTTCTTTCCTTATCTATCATGTGCCAGCCTTGCTGGGTGACTTCGGTATCTCTTGTGTGGCAGCTTTGCTGGCTGGATTAATCTGTACTAAAAGAATACAAATGCAAGCATTTCTTGATACTTGGTGCTTCCTTTCTTTTAAAGGGGCCCATCTTTGTTCAGTTGAATAAACACATAAACTTAAAGGCAACTTCTGGGGTTTTTTTTGTCTATATTTTACCAAGCCATACCTCAGAACCAGCATAACATAAAGATGTGGCTCTGCCAGTAGGCTTGGTGCCTCAGTGGGGGACGGTCCAATGGAGGTGGTTGATTGAGTAATAACAGATTCCACCTCCCTCCACTCTGCCCCCATCCTCCCCAGGTTTTAATGTTGATTTTAATTATTTATGTTTTAATTGTACATGTATAGACATATGTTTTATGATTGTAAGCTGCCCAGAGTTATTCTGTGGTAAGATGGGCGGCCAATAAATTTTACAAACAAACAAATAATTCAACTAATTCTGTATGCATCTAATGATCTAATGAAACTCCAGCCCAAAGCTTTCAATGTTTTATTGAATGTTTTGCTGAAGTCAAAGTATGACAGTCCTGTAGGGTAGACAGACTAAGAAACCAATACCATTATAGGGCTAAAATTACTTTATTGGAACAGCTGTGCTGTTGGGAAATGTCCAGCCATGTAGAGAGGAAGAATCAAGTGGGGAATCAACCTTGAATTGTCAAGAGATCCAGGACTGATACCACCCCTCTTCCCCAGCTCCGTGGAATCTTATCTATTTGTTCCCAAGGGAAGGCAAGCATTCTGGAGAAATCCCTGTATTTTAGCAGAATTTCAATAGTCAACTTGAACTCTTCACATGTTGGTCTGTTGTTTGGGCCTGATATATAATAACAGAATCTTCTGATAGTGCTTCCCTCTCCCTCATTGTATTTTCATATGAATGACAGAGGGATCTGTCTGAGAATGTTTTCTCAGATTAGTTTCTTGGAAAGTACTCAAGCTATGCTTTAATAGGATCATTGCTTTAGTAGAAGCTCTTCCTCATGTCCTTCAAGACTATTTGCTGTGCCTTCGATAAGGTATTCTACAGGATATGCTATATCCATCACATTCTCATGGTCAGTTAAACTGATGGGTCTTAATTACCTTGGAATTCTCTTTGAAGATAAAAGCATTTCACCTTCTCCAATTTTCTAG